AAGTAGCTCTCAGATGAAGAAAGGTTGGAGACCCCTGCTCTACATCATAACAGGTGAGGGGGAAGTTAAGAAGATAAAAAGAAAAAGGGTATCTGTATTCCTGTACTGTTACATAAAAAGAGACATAATCAGATTACTGGAACATTTCTTTTAAATGTTGGTTTCTTCTTTTCTAAGCACATGTTTTTCTGCTGTCTTTACATAAAAACATCTTATTGATATTTATTTTTTCTTCTCTTTGCATTTGATATTGAGGTTATCCAAAAGTAACGGAAAATAATCAGGGGACATTAGTTACATAGTTTGTTACTTAGATATCTGATTACTGTTAACATGTTAGCAGTAACCCTCCCAACACTGGTCATTGGCTACAGCCTCGCTAAATTGTCGTTTTAATATTGGATGGATAATAAATATGAACTGTTTTCTTTTTGTATCTGATGCAAAGTGACCTTATTTCTGGTCATAAGTAATATAATCATAACAAATGCATGTGTACGTTATAGCTGTCCATATTTGCATATGTCCATATCGTCATTATGTCACTTTAAGTACGATATTACCAGTATTCACACTGAATCATGTGGTACTGCATCACATGACTGTCTTGCTTGAATATACTTCAGTGTGAATATCGTGCTGGTGCAGTCAAGTGACTCACATTTCCAAAAATGTCGTAATAAATTGGAGCAGATTCCTGTCTGATTCTCATATTCAGCCTTTCCTCACACACACAAACACACACACGTGTGCGCTCACTCTGACAGTGATTGGTTCGAGCTGCTCTGCATTGGATCCCCACTTCAAGAGCCTGGAGTTGGCATGACAACAGTAACCAGGGCAACTGCGGTTCAAACAAACAAAGATTTGGCTTGAAGGGAAACGTCGAGATCATGCACCTAGTGTCAGAGCACAAACAGGAGCAGATGGCTGCGTGATTTTGGCTGGTCTGTTCTGAGAGAGCCATATTGAGCGGAGTTAGCCAAATGTAAGAAGTGCTGTCCGGAGCTGTCACTGATCACAGACCTTTACAGACCTTTACAGACAGCACCCGGCCGCTCTGCCACGCCAGCTGCACATCACCTCTGATAGTGCTGCAGAATATAATATAATATATATACAGTATATACCTAATAGAAAATCCTGCAGAGTGGGGATGAACCAGGCTTCCAGAGAACTGTCAGCAGCTAACCAAGTGTGGATACAAGTCAGAATTCCTTGGACGATGCAAATGTTACCCCTTTGTTCTTATTTTGTTCTTACCTGTAGAGCATTATGCAGCTAGGACATATCAGAAGAAATGTCGCTCAGATGGTGCACTGAATTTGACTTTTAACCAATTTACTGTTATTTTGCTGCAAGCCCCCATTGTCAAAAACATATAACTCAATACCCAAAATCAACCAGATTGATCCAGTGGTTAAAATTCTGTAGTTAAATACTGTGTCCTCGGCTGGAAATAGCGGCCATCTTGGAAGATGGTCACCAATTTGGAAATTCAAGTGGCTAATGGATTTTTTTTTAGATGAAATGACTCCAAAGGGATGAACGTGGAAATGTTTCACCAGTCAGTCACTGCACATTTCTCCAGCTTTCCCCTGAGATCAGGCTGGAAGATGTGCAGACTCTTCAGGGCTGGACGTTGACGGCAGGTCCCAGAGGGACGGGGGGGGGGTTAGCTACAGTATCTCATTTGAATGTGTTGGTGATTTCCCCCGGAGTGCAGGGTTAATTAATGAGTCTACCGCACAGCTCGGGATTACAGCGCTGTTATCGAGCGGTTGACTCTGTGGCATTAAGTGGGGGGGGGGGGGGGGGGGGGGGGCTCCTCTAACTGCACACAAATAGATCTCACACCTCAGACAGGATGTAGATGCTTTCAGCAGCTGGTTGCTAGGAAACAGTTTGGGTCCAAGTTTACATGCTGTCAGCTATTGATGTTGGCACACACTGCAGCAACAAATTAAGTGTAGCACGTTTGAAATGTTTGTGCTTTTAACTGAAACAGTTTCTGAACTCCCTCATTACCCCCGACAGAACTGCCTCTAACATTCAGTGGTACATCAGTCAGAGTATTTTCTTCCCATTTTTTTTTTTAAACTTAAAGGATCTTTAGATGGAATGCTTCCATAATTGATTTTAGACTCAAGCCAAACTGTTTCATATGAATGCATGTTACATTCAAATCTTAAGAGGGGCTATTTTGTTTTGCCTTTACAATGACATATTGAATGAAACCCCTGTCATCTCAGTCAGTAATCTGGTAGTAGGTAGGAGTAGTATATGTTGTTAAGAACAATGACAGAATATGGAAATGTACACCTATACTTTAAGACCATCTCCATGGGTAATCAATGACCAATAGCCATCTCTCATAAGTAAACCCACTGGCCTTTGTTCTCAGAAATAATTCACATGATGTCTATCTATGCCAGTTTAGCCATGTCAATTATTTTGTCTAAAAGCATTTATTTTTCAATTTGTCAAAGGTGAAATTCGGAAAATTAAAAAAATTCTGTACCCTTTAGAATATCTATATCTATTTCTCTGTCTATTTCCAAGGACCTGCAGACACTCTTGGTGGTTTAGAATATATTGGACTGTCTGCTGGGGTTTGACACAATGGGAGCAATAGACTGAGAAATGTGTTGAAATATATATTTGAAGGTGTACTGTACGTATGCCAGGTAAGTTTACTGTTCAGTTTAAGACATGGATGAAATGAATGTGGAGGGAACTGAACACAGGATGGGAAACGATATAACACACAGCTAAAAACAGAAGGTTTTGTGAAAGGCAATGTTCCTCAGTGCACATGACACATAACATAACAGAGAGCTGAGGCATAGCCAGCAGCGAGGGGGGGGGGGGGGGGGGGGTCAGGCAATGTGAGGCACGTTCCAAGGTCACCCCCATCTCAGGAGACAACATATCTCTGTGTGGAGCTAAAGGAAAACATTTACCCACAAGTCAACCCCATTATCTGTATCTTTCCATTTACAGCCCATAGTCAATGGAAATCAATAGGCTATTTAAATGATAATGGTGGAGGTGTGGTAGCCATTTTTCATTTAACGCTCATGTTTGGATAACTTTGGGGAATTGATTAGGGTCTTTCGTCATCAGGTCATTGACATTTATCATCGTGTCATATTCCTGCACAAGAATAAGAAACAATGATTATGCAAATCCATGATTGATCAGTTATGTGAGAACAGGGTTCTAATTGCTCAACCCCATGTTTTGAACATCATGACACATATGAATGATGACTTACATATGATAGAAATGTCTAATATTGATTCAAACAGCTTTTGTGAAATGACACAGGGCTTGATAGCAATGGTTGTGCTTGACAACCATTTTGAGAAATGGGCGACCAGTTCTTGGATTCGGCAAGGGGCAAACTTAACTCATTAATAACAGGGACAGATACATTTTAAATACTGCAAATACTTGTTGCTCTTGAACACAGCTGGTTTCCTATCAAAAAGCACAAAGAGAAGGTACAGTCACGGAGTGCCTTTTAAATGAACTGCAGTTTTAATCATAATTACATTGACAGCAAAGTAAAACAAGTCATTTCACAGGGGAGCAAGAAGAAGTGCTGCAAATAAAACATCTTCCAGTAAGCCAATAAGAAAAGCCCTTTGACACAAATGTGTTTAAATGAATGAAATGAATGAATGAAATGTTATATATACTATATATAGCCCAATATCTAAAATGATACATTTGTCGCTGGTGCCTTTACAGAGCGTTCAGAGACTCATTATCAGTCAGTCAGTTTACAAGCAGAAATCCTAAGAAACCGCGTAATTAATGTGGAAAAATGGAAGAATCCTTGTGCAGAGCGAGAGAGGAGTCTCTCTCCCAGATGCATAGACATGCAATAGATGTGGTGTTTATAGATTAAAAAGATAATATATTTACAACATATATAGACTATATATAAAAAGAAAAGAAGTTGGATTCAAGTGGACATTCTTCCAGGTGCGGCCGGAAGAGCATCCTAACTGGGGCCTGTTTCAAAGCAAGCCTGAGCCAGCCCTAACTCTAAGCTTTATCAAATAATAGGGATGCTCCGATCGCCAATTTTGGGGCCGATCGCCGATCGCCGGAATCAGTATCGGCCGATACCGATATCCGATCGAGTGGGCGGGGCCTATGGGGATCTTCCATTTCAAGTGATGTTTAAAACTCAGTTAATGGGGCTCATTCACTGGCGCTTCCACAAACAACAACCAACATAATTATTACATTCAAAAGAAGACATTATTCAAGTTTACATTCACTTTGGATAATAACACGGGAGAAAGGAGCGGATAAGCGCTCTCTTTTCCTCTCTCCCTCTCTCTCTCTCTCCTGACAGCCCGTCAGTATCTCCTGCAGCTCACTGATCCAGTAATGTGTGAGGCCGACAGTGAAGAATAAATATATTTATAACTAGTTTAGCTTGTTCCAGAGGTAGATAAAATAGCTAAGTGTGTTAGGTCTAACTCTTAATGTGTGTTCTGCTCCGTTCACCGGTCCGTCACAGCGGGTGGAGCTGCAGGATTTCTGCTTCACACACACGTTGCATACCGCTATTTTATTGTCATTTTCGGACACCTTCAAATACTGCCAGACCGGTGAAGCCATTTTGGCGAGCTTGTTTTGCCGCGCACAGAGAAAAGTCATGTATTTTACGTCATGCGATCAGCTATCGCGATCGGCATGTTTAGAGAGCACCGATCGATCGGCAGAGAGTGAGTATCGGCCGATATCGATCGGCGGCCGATCGATCGGAGCATCCCTATCAAATAAGAAAGTCTTTAGAACTCAATGTCAATCCATGAGGTACAGTAGAGCTGCAAGTCAGTCTGATTACCATGCTTATCCAAATGAAATGTATTAGATGAACATCCATACATTATTAGACTCTATAAGGCTATTTGTTTGGTATGTTGGGTGTATTGTGTTTCTTATACTGATGTCCTGTGTTCTGTGTGTCTCCACAGTGTGATCCAGGTGAGGCCACCAAGCTGCTCTATGACCTTCTCTACACGGAGCCCATTAAAATCGTGCTGATGCCAGGCTGCAGCTCTGTGTCCACGCTGGTGGCTGAAGCTGCCCGCATGTGGAACCTCATAGTGGTAAGATCTTTCCCCTCTCTGTTATTTCATCTCCAAAACATTAATCCATTCTTCTATTGTCATCTATCTGCGTTCGGGAAAACCGCAAGCTAATCATGGTTTTTCAGACCTCCCTCCGGCCAGCAAACATTTTCTTGCCAAGATGAGATAAATAATCTCTCCAACATTTCCTGGGTCTACCCCTGGGACAGCTGATATGGTGTCTCAAACTCCCTCTGGATATCTGAGCTAGTCACCCTTCTGTCTTCATTGTAAAGCTCTGCCCCCTGTATCGCCGTGAGCAAAGAGCAAATCTCTTATGCAGAAGGGAGCTTAAGGTAGGATCACTTGCAAAGGACAACTGAAATGGAAACATTTTAGACTTTGCACCGAGTATACGGCAAGAAGAGAATCTGCAAAGTTCCTCCTGGATCAAGGATTGTAAAATCCTTTGAAACCACCAACACGGTCAGCCACTCGACAGCCACTATCCTCTTCCTCCAAGGGACTTTGAGAGGGCATGTCCTCCAACAATGTCCAGAGCCTCCCTCATCTCAGGATGGATCCATAGTTCATTGAGCATTTTGATTACCTACCTAAGTGGATGTCAGCTATATGAAGTCTTTCACAAATTCTCTAAACTTGTCTCCTTTCACCCGGGATGTCCGAGGGCCGTCTCTATGTGACTGTGAGTAGTTTGAAGCAGGTTTCTGAGGATTGTTTGTGCTTATGCATTAGCAGCTCAGAATACCCAGCCTTTCGGAGTCTCTGGGAGAAGAAAGAGCAACAATGGAGCCATGAAGGAGAGTCCTGAAGGGTTGGGGTTTGGGAGGAACAGCATGACTGATCTGAACCTGAGTGGGGATTGGACCTCTGTGCTAGTCATAGATTGGTTATAGCAAATACCATTATCAATCATGGGGCGGTTCATACGTCTAGAACAAAGGCCAAAAACTAGGCCAAAGATTGATGATCAACGTCTGTGTCGTATCATCAGGTCGGTTGCTGAATGTCTTGGACACTCAGGTTGAGAGAGGAGCAGAGCTGTATATATTTCACTTGCCGCAAAATAACACAATAATGAATAAAAAGTTGTCTGGCCCTGTGGTGCATTCAATCCCCGTATCAGCGTGGGTTTTCTTCCTCCGCCGGACAAACTACCGAAGTCAAGAGGGCAAGAGGGTAAGAGAAAGTGGTGTGAGAATGTTTTATTCAGTATATCATAACCGCAGCTTGTATATCTACAGTCGTCCTTCCATTTAGCGTTTTTGGATAATGAATACTGTTGCCTGTTGTTACCGAGAGCTGATTGCTCTCACACAGATATAGAAACTCCTTTTTTTCTGGACCTGAGTTGTAATCTTTGTGATGTGTTCAGGCACGACTTTTTGGCAAAGACGCAGGAGTGAAAGGCAACAAAAGAGTCCACTCTGTCAAAACTAGTTCCTGGATGGTGTGAAGGCTTTAAGCTCTGGATTGACAGGTGACTGGTCCAGGGTGTGCCCCGCCTCTGATGTAATAGCTCAAGATAAAAAGCTATATATAATGGATAAATGGGATCATCATGTTGCTACTGCTGGGTAGGTCTTTATAGGGAAAGAAATATCTGGTACAAAGAGAGGGATGTATTTCCATTCCTTCACAGAGAGACAAACAACAGAAGAAGAATTTGGCAGTTAGCCTGACCAGTCAGAGTCACCATAGGCTCGTCTCAATACTCCTCCGGGACTTGACCCGGAAATCGATCAAGACACGCCATTTTGAAGAACGTCCCAATGGCTGAAATGCACACGGAGGAGTCGAGAAGGGGTGAGGGAGGAGGGAGGAGACGAAAGGGAGGATACACAAGACTAGACTACGCGGAAGTGTTTTCACTACTCGCGTATAAAAGCCCCGCCCCCACCTTCACAGCTGGTCGATTTCAAGAGAGGAAAACTGAGAACTGGAAGAATGAGTGGAAAAGCGTCACATAAATGTCTAAGTGCTCACAGCTCCGTGGGAATTATTATGTGCAATTCATTTCTTAAGGTTATACTAACAATTGAAGTCATGTTTAATGATCTTGAACATCACTAAAACATAGCTATTAAGAAAGCTTCATAACTGGCTAGATCTTGATAAATAACAATTATTTTATAGTTTTGTGTTAAAATATTCAGTAGTTAAATGATTTAAAATGCACAGTCCTGAATGTGGGTTTGTGGTGAATGTGGGGATCTACAGGACACACATGTTCAGAGTAAAGGCTTTCACATTATTATAATTGTATTTTTATTTAAATGTAGGCTACATTTGACACCAAAACGGAACACAAAAGCAGGACCAACCATCATACATTGAATTCCTTGACTAACAAGAGAAAGATTCATCATTTAAATACATATTTAACAACAAATGGGCCGGTTCTAAGGGGTTATTCAGTTAAGCCCGATGAGAGGGGATACAGCTGTGCACATGTCATCATTAACAGACGTTGTTTAAGAGTGACGTTTGAGTGAACGAGGACGTCCCAATTAATACCTGAGGACTCCTCTGTCCTCGCGTCACCTCCTCGTGTCTCTCGCTCGCATCTTACGGAGGCGGAGCTAAGACGCAAGGAAGGGACGCGAGTGAGGGAAAGGAGGAGGTGAAATATTCAATTGAGACGAGCCTCATGACTCAGCAAAGAAGAGCTCCATGTTGAGAAACCCTGGATCACAGAAAGTAAAAGGTTGCCCACAGTGTTACGTGGATAAGTGATCTGTGGGTACTGCTGTGTGAAGACGGCACAGAGAGCACTAAGGTGGAAACAAAATACATGAATCACTCTCCAGGAAGAAACTCTTTAATTCCAAAGATATAGAATCAAAGTTGTACACTTGAGGAAAGTGAACTGAATCAGAATCAGAATACCTTTATTCGTCCCACGGAGGGTACATTTACGATTGTTACAGCAACGAGCCAAAGACAACTTAATATCTCTGAAGAAGCATAACAAATATTAAAGATAAAACACTTGAAATTACACAATTTACAAGATACACTTCCAGTACCAATAACCGTTTAGTAATATAGCAGCCAGGGGGAAGTATAAAAGGTGGTAGAATGAATTGCACAGCTATTTAAAGTATATATATATACTGAGGGATACTGAGGGATATCACAGTCCGATCAGGGAAACAAACATAGAATACCTTGTAATAGTTGTGATACTGATTATATGTTATTAATGCATGAATAAAGGTTTAACTTCAATATCAACCAATCAATCAATCAATCCAACTTCATTTAAAGACCACGTTTCATACACAAAGAAGGTGAAAGAAATTGCTTCACAAAAAAAATACAATACCAACCAAACTCAATGAACACCAAGACCAAAAAAGCAAGACTCAATAAATTAAAGTGGTCCTATCATGCTATATTTGAATAATATATTGTAGGGCCATACCTATATAAAACATGTCTGTGAAGTTTTTTTTTCAAAATACCAAACAGATCATGCATTTTAGCCATGCCTCATTTCGCTCTATTTGCTGTATTCCAGCCCTGTTTTTGCAGGGGCTGATTCTGTGGCAAATGAGCTGCAGCTGACCACGCCCCCCGGCAAAGGAGGGGGGCGAGGCACGAGCGTCATGTTACCATGCTGTTACCATGTTGTTACCATGCTGTTACCATGCCACGGCAACCTCTCATTCCCCTGATAGGTGGAGAGTTGGCCATATAGGCGGAGCTCCTTGTTTCTGACGTCAGAGATATTTCAAATCTGTATCAGTCTGTATCAGATCCGTTGCAGCCCCGTTTTTAGAGATTTGGGTATGGAGGAAAATAGAGAGGGTTGTGTTTTCTGACACTTGGTGAGTTCCCTGACACACCGGGGACACATATTCATGTATAAAAGACGTACAAAAGTGCATTTTGCATGATAGGTCCCCTTTAAAATAAAGGCAAGTAGAAATGTTAAGATAAAATAGTGCAACATGTTAACATTCAGTGTTCCTCATCTACAGCCCTTCGGTTTGATTGGAATTGTATTGCAATAATATGAAAAAAGTTAGATAATACCAGTAGAACTTGTCACTGTGTTTTATTGATCATTGACTGTGAACAAAGTTATTTCAAAAGAACACATGTTTTTACATGCTTAATGTCGTTTGTTGGTATATTTTTTACAGACACACTTAGTGGGGACAGCATTAGTCAGGAAACTGTGACCATGGCATATGGCAAACTAAGGGCCATGTCAGTGCTAAAAGCTAAAAGCTGCTGAGGAAGCTGAACAACTTCCTAACAGCTGTATTTTTCATGAAGATGCAGAAAAGCACTCATCACTCCAAGCTTTTCATTTTGAAGAGTTAAAATCACAATTTTGGTGATAAACGATGTCACAATGATCTCCAATGTGATGTTCAAAATGATAATGAGCAGATTTTTATAAATTAACACTCCACACAAGAATGAATCCTAACCGTGCCTACTGAAATAACTTTTCACTGTAAGTACAGTACTAATGTCATTCTGCTCTTTGGGCAACGTAGTGAAGTGCACTCACACTAAAAAAGGTTCCAGTCATATTCCTTCATTTTTCATACACTGCTATTTTTATGTTCCAAAGAGCTCTTCATCTATATCTACAGTAAGACTGTGACCCACATTTTCTCGTCATTGTCATAATGTACTACCTACAAATGCAGAAACTTGGCAGGAAAACTGTTAATAATACAGCACATTTGAGTCAGTGTGATTCAGATTTAAAATACCTTTCATGGAGGGCTCGGAAACCATGAAGAATGACTTGAGGCGACACAATGTGGAAGGCTTCTCAATTCTCTAATTTCCCCTCCTCGACTCCCCTCCTCGACTCCTATCCTCGTGTCTTAGTCCCGCCCACAGGAGATGCGAGCGGAGGAGTCAAGGAGGGGAACCGAGGAGAGAGGAGGGGAAGCAGCAGGCGGTTAGAGAAATGAGAACTCCTCTCCTCTGAGCGGTCATTTTAAAGAGACGTCCATTAATGATGACAGGAGGCACAGCAGCCCTCTGTCTGATGGACAGATGTGTTCATAACGACTTATATATTTACTTTGAATTCATTCACAGTGCGGTATAATGAGACAATAACAGGCTACAGATGCGGACATATACACACATATATATTTATATATACAATTTCAGAATCAAACAAGTATGAGAGAGCACTCTCATAATAACGTAACACAATCAGAGACTGGATATACCCCCCCCCCCTCTCTCTGGTCGCTGAAATGTGGAATTGAAATTACAGGCCAAAAGTTGTATTTACACGTATTAAAAGTAAGCATAGGACACCAAACCAACTGAGACCCGTCTGTCCGCTGCATCTACACACTGTACAACACACACACCTACACACTGTACCACACACACACCTACACACTGACTGTACCACACACACACCTACACACTGTACCACACACACACCTACACACTGACTGTACCACACACACACCTACACACTGTACCACACACACACCTACACACTGTACCACACACACACCTACACACTGTACAACACGCACCTACACACTGTACACACTGTACAACACGCACCTACACACTGTACCACACACACCTACACACTGTACAACACACACCTACACACTGTACAACACACACCTACACACTGACTGTACCACACACACACCTACACACTGTACAACACACACCTACACACTGTACCACACACACACCTACACACTGTACAACACACACCTACACACTGTACCACACACACACCTACACACTGTACCACACACACACCTACACACTGTACAACACGCACCTACACACTGTACACACTGTACAACACGCACCTACACACTGTACAACACACACCTACACACTGTACAACACACACCTACACACTGACTGTACCACACACACACCTACACACTGTACAACACACACCTACACACTGTACAACACGCACCTACAGCTCCTAAAGGATACAGCCGTTGTGTATTTTATTATGTGAAGCACTAAATGGTTTTAGAAAAATATCGACTCTTTGTTTGTAGATATCTACTAAACTAAAGCAAATAAAGAGAGTAGGCCTGTTATACTGAGTGATATATATTATACACACTGCTCTGCTTTCTGCACGGACCTCACAGCTGTTCTCTCTGTAAACATCGCGTCGCGATGAAAGCAGTTACTAAAATAATATCCAGGGGATGCATGCAGAGCTGTGATTGGCTGAGATCAGTCCGGCCGTGCGTCACGACTCTTTGAAACATCTCTGTTCCCGGAAATACATCCGCGAGGAGCCGTGGAGGACCCATCAGTGTATCCTAGATTATAGCTCCTCCAGAGAGCCTCCTCGATGCTCGATGCTCGATGTGCATTTAGAGAAATGAGATGTCCTTCAACATGGCGCGCTGAAATCCATTTCCGGGTCACTACCGGAGCACCGAGGAGTCGGGGAGGAGAAATCAGAGAATTGAGAAGCCTTCAATGTGCTAAAGCAAGAAACCATTTTTGATTTGAAACTAACACCAACCAAGTCATCTACGTACATGTGGTTATATATGAACATGGGTGTGGGTGGGCATATTTGTGTGAATTATTTGTCTTTTTAATCATCCCACTGTATTTGTTGTGTTTTTTTTCCAGCCCTTTAGGAAGCATCAATTGAAGCAACGGGTCATTCCTGGAAGAAATTACATGTAGAAGACGTTATTATCCAAAGTGACTTAGAATAAGTGCAATAAACAATAAAGATACCAACTCTAAAAAATAACAAGAAAAATGCACATTCACTTCAAATAAGCCAAATCATTGTGAGTGCTGGTGCATTATCAATGGGCTAAACCAAGGTACACGTGAAACAGGTTGGGTTTTTATGAGGACATGAGGACTAATATGAGGACTGTTATCATTTTAACTTAACTTTAAATATGTTGGTGTTCTCGATTGATGATTTTCTTTCTTTATTTTTTGTTGTGTTTTTTTGTTTCTATTATATTTATAGTTAATGTTAAAACATGAGTTTGTATTCTGACCAAAAAAAGAAATCTCTCATTAGAGAATAGGGGCGGACCGAGAAATGATCTGTATTTAAAACCAACATTCTATATTAGGCTCCAAAGCTCTGTGTGGGTTTGATATGTACCATTCGATTGATCTACATTTTAAGGGATATTAAGATTGATTGATAAGACTTGCACTCTGCCTTTTATAACACCTTGCTAGCTATCCTTTACTAATATTAGCTGGGACATGCTTTATTCCCAATGTCCTTATTTTGCAGCAGTAACAGTGATCAGGATGGCCCTGGCTATAACCTGGTGCTTTGTGTCTCCCTCTCTCAGTTGTCGTACGGCTCCAGCTCTCCGGCTCTGTCTAACCGACAGCGTTTCCCCACCTTCTTCCGCACCCACCCGTCTGCCACGCTGCACAACCCCACCCGGGTGCAGCTCTTCCAGAAGTGGAAATGGACCAAGATCGCCACCATTCAGCAAACCACAGAAGTCTTTACATCAGTGAGTCACTCAGCTCTTAGCTCAGCGTCATTAAAATGTGCTTTCACAGATTTAGTTTTCGGACACGGATTTCCAAAATGTCTTCCTGGTTAATTTATTTTAGGGTTACTTTAAAAATGTAATCTGTTAGAATTACTAGTACCTGTACAAATAAGTAACCTTATCTGAGTATCAAAATATAAAAGTAATGTAACTTGATTACTTTCAGTTACTTAAATATCTAAACTAAGCAACTAAATATCAATAAGATGTTTTTAACTTAAGTGTACTATGTAGGAAAACAGAACAATGAGACCTTTGAAAAGAAAAACCAAGATATTCAGGATCAGAAAATATTTTATTTTTATGAAAAGCTGCCTTTCATGAAGCATATTCAGCAGCCTATACACCAACACTGAAACACATGTGCACATACTACAGTTTAAAAACACTGGAATAATCTGAGCTGACAGAAAATGCTCCGTTTTAGTTTAATACACTCTCTCCTCCCATTCCTGTCTAAAACACTTGAACGCGTCTTTAAGCTCACACACACTATGTTATGAACATACAGGTTCACCTGCTGAATTAAAAACAGAACAAATGAACAAAGAAAGTGAAAACCATAAAGCAGATTCAGGCAGTAGACGTATAGATTCACACATAAAGTATTATCCTACAGAACAGAACAGTTTAGAAGAGATAACATCTGATCCTTTACAACAAACACTAGATGCTCTTTTTAGGTTTTAATAACACTGTAATCCTGTCAGGAATCTTCATTTTCCAGAAATCTAGCACTTACTGTATCTGATAACCTTTTTTTATGTATTTGTAATGGAATACACCATTTGTTTGTATCCTGATTATGTAATCCCATTACTTGTAATCCGTTATTCCCCAAGCCTGAGTATTTTAAACTAAATACATACTCAGCCTTTAAACATTTAAACGAGTTAACTTGTGTGTCAAAATATCATTTTGCTGCTTTGTTCACATTTCCTTCCAAAAGTATTCATTTACTTTTCTCATTTCCTATTCCTCCCACCCCCTTATCTTCCCCATCGTCTATTACATCTTCCCTCCCTTTTGATTGGTTTCTCTCTGTCTGTTGTCACCTGCTTACTAATCTGTCTGAACCACCAGCTCACCTCTTCTCTTGCTACTGCACTATTACTGTTCTTCTAATATTATAGTACAATTTCTTTTACCGACTCCATTACTTCTCCTACACTTATTTTGCTTCCTGTGTCTTGTGCATAATTATGTGTGTGTGTGCGTGTGTGTGACAGACTCTGGACGACCTGGAGGAGAGGGTGAAGGAGGCCGGGATAGAAATCAGCGTTCGTCAGAGCTTCCTCTCCGATCCTGCTGTGGCTGTCAAAAACCTCAAGGTGCCAGAATCCGCCCCCCCCCCCCCCCCCCCCCCCCCCCACCTATTCTCATTACTCATACACTGTAGCAGGCAGCTGAACACCAATCAGCCGGGCCTGCTCTGCTCCAATCAGCACAGAGAGCTGCTGGATGCTTAGCAACAACAGCCCAGAACTTCCAGAAGCAGTGTGGAGCCCAGAGTGTGGAGTCACACAGGAAGAGGCTCCAGCTGTGAGCACATCTGTGGTCCAGGCTGGAGACAATACTGAAGGCCCTCAGAAACATCTCCACTGTTATCACTAACATATCTCTATGAAGAAATGAGAAGCTGAGTTGTTACAGAGCTGTCAATGTTCACACCATCATTATTCTGAGCATCAGCGTGCATGTTGGTCAGGGGGATGCTCCTCCTGACACCTTGTGGAAATGTCTTTGAGCAAGACCATAAAAGAGGCCCTGCTTTCTTCTTGGGTTTTCCCTCTCCTGTAGTGTGTTGTGTTTTTGTGCATGTCAAATCCCTGTGTTCCCTCCATAGGACTCCTTTGTTTACTTCCGTAACGTAATGATATCACTATGTAAAACCTGTGTTTCGATTGGCTAGTGCTCCAACACAAATGTCCATGATAGGCTAAGGGGCGGGATATCTCTAAGCGGTGGACCAATCACAACAAAGCTGGCCAGCTAACCAATCAGATACAAAATACAAATCAGGTGCACCTGTAGAAGTTGCAGAGTATCCTGGAGTCCATGCTGAAATTGCTGACGTAGGCATGTTTACGATAAAAAAATGTAATGTTGGCTAACAAGTTGACCTTTTATTAATAACCTTAAAACAGCAGTTGACACATTTCAGCCAAACCAGTTGAAGACTTGAAGTGAAGTTTGTTTTATGACTGCTGTTTCCAAGGTTCAGAATGAATCCTCAAGTTATTATTTAATAGTTTTCTTGGAAAACCTGCCTCTGCCTGTGTTAACTGGATGGAGGATTACCTACGATCCAGTGACGTGCGGTGAGGTTCATGGCTGGCTCTTTCAGATGCCCCTTTCACACCGGCGCTTTTCCAGCTCCGGCTCGGAGCTGGAGCTGGAAAAGCGCAGTTTTTTCCTGTTCACACCGCAGCGGCGCCGCGTCATAGCTCCGGAATGCGGTTCACTTCCAGCTCCAAAAAATTGTCGGTCTAGAGGCAAGAGCTTCGGAGCTATGACGCGGCGTCGCTTACGTCTCTCTTACGTCGAGGCGTGCAGGAAACTAAACCCACCTCCCCTGAACATGGGTCGACTGAAGAGTCTCGTCATGCCTGCCTACAAGCAGTAGCGCTGAGCAAAGTGACTAGAAGGCAACCACACACTTATAAAAAAAAAAACACACTTTATAAAGTCAGGCAACACTAACCAGGCTTCGTGTGATTCTGTTTATTTGTACCTTACTTTGACCATCCGTTCGCTGTTATTGATCATTGTGGAGAGCAGGCAGACGTTTTGTTTGTTATTATAGCAGCTATCGGATGGAATCAATACATGGGCTGCACAGGTTGTCATGTCCGACTATCACAAGTAGAATCATAATGAAAAATACGCCGGTAAAATGTGCCTGTAGAAAACGGCTTAGCAAGTAGTCAGTTTAGCTTCGGTTGCTATGCTAACATCACCCATGTTATACCAGAGAAACTTTCATAACAGCGTTGTGATGCCAAACAGCGTCAATTCAGACTGACACACATTCACTTAAGGGGAACTGGGGATATGTATCAGCTGCTTGTGTGACAGTCAGACAGTGAATACTTTAGAGCCGTGTGAGCTAACAGGAGAATAAACTCCCGTGGAAGAGCAGCCAGCACAGCAGCAGTCGGCAAATGCCGCTGAAACACATTAATAAACAATGAACCACGGCACTCTGGAGAAAAGTATAAGGTTGGAGAAGTCGTTATTTAATTTAATCTGGCTTCGTATGATTAAAAGCAACACGATCATCGACCCGACGCAGTCCCCCCCCGTTGTTGTTGTGAGCTCCGTTGGGGAGAAAATCAGCGATGTAAACGGTGACGTCATGACGCAGCAGCGGCAACTGGGCGGTGTGAACAGAGCGGGAGCTGAAAAGGGAAACCGGAGCTGAACCAGAAAAGCTCTAGCTAGGAGCTAGAAAGGGAAAAGCGCTGGTGTGAAAGCCGCAAGAGTCAGATTTACAAATATTATCTTTTGACCTTAATCGAAATATTCTGTTATTTTCAAAAGCTTTTTTAGTCTGATGCTATGATTAATTTTAAACAGACCGTTCAACAAAAGGATACCCAAAATCTAAATATTGGATTGTTCTTTCTTAGTAAGATCCCATTTTCATTACAATTGTGGTCTTACCTTGACTTGAATAGAAGTCCATGCTATCCTTCTGGACAACAATCTCAACTTTTTTGTAAAAGTCCTCCTTATCTTCCTGTAGTTTCAAAAGTCTAGTTTGTTGTTTGCGTCTGTCACTACCCGATCTGTCCCCCTGCCCGATCTGTACTGCGCATGTGCGAGATGGTCCGCCATATTTGACAACTACATACGGCAACTCTACTAGGACACTTGACACAGTGGCTTTTGACAAAGCAGAAAAAGAACAGAGAGAGATGAGTTATTGTTATTACAACGTGACTTCACTATTATTTAACAACTCTTTTTATTGGGTTCTTTTATTTGGGGTTAAGTACATTGTCAGAATAAGTGAGAAATGGATTTAACTTCTGTTAGACAGCTATATGCCATACATTTTTGCATACATTCACAGTAAATATTTATTCAGTATGATAGCTGTCTAACAGAAGTGAAATAAGTTATTGAGAGACTATGGATGGCGAGGATAAATGTAATAAAGGGATCTACAAACATTACATTGGTGACCTACAGTGAGATGGGAACAGGCATGCGCTTAGGGCCCGCTTTCCAGCCAGTTTCTGTGGGGTGACGCATTCTGAGGTGAGGCAGGTAACTGGCTGGAGCGCGGGCACAAAATAAGTGCTCGCGCTAAATTAGTGCCCGTGCTCCAGTCAGTTACTGTAGGCTTACTAGAGGCAGAGCTCGTCCCTGCCTCACTTCTCATCGCTCCCATGTAGCCTAGTTGTAGCGGAGCTCTGCAGATTTTGACTATAAAAAGCGATTGGAATCATACAGAAATCACATTTACAACACAGATCAGTGGAGACATTTTATTATTATTATTATTTAGTTTTTCTTTAATTGTTTTTCCCGTTACATTGGAGTATGACAGGTGAGGCTCTGCCTCCCCTGACTGCACGTCGCTGCTACGATCAGTGCATTGTGTTTAGCTTGAGGATTTGTCACGCCGGCCCACTCAAAGTGAGTGTCCTATTTGTATAGTAAATAATAGTAGATAGTAGTATCAGCATCAGATGAATCACTTTATTTAGGACGAAGTTGAAGCAACTGAAGACAAATCTTAGAATGTTTATATCTAATGTAATTTCAACACATCCTCTGTTTTCTCTTGGCTTAATTTCGTATCCATCATTCTTTTTAAACATTTTGTGAACAGTGTTTTGTTTCTGGGCGGCCTGTGATTAGCTGACATCACTGCTGACACATATAAATATCAGACACTGTTTGAAGCAATGCACAGAACTGAGCTCCTCTAGGCTAAGCTGCCCCGTCAGCATGTGTTTTTTGAATTTCAAATATAAGTCTGACATGGGTTTTAGCTACAAATATGTGCATAAACAGAGGATACTGAACCTGTATCTTAGCCCTGTACCTGTTATCCTTCTGTCTCTCCCTTCCAACCATGTGTCAGAGTGACTCGCCTCTTCCTGGCCCACTCACACTTAACAATGACCTTGAACAGCATGCCGGCCTAGTTTAGTGCAAGATGAATAGGCCATGGTAACAGTATGAATGTCCCCCAGTGGAGAGGAAGTGTACTGCAGGGGCTTTAACTTGTTTGTGTGTGTGTTTATTTTATTTTTATCTCCACCCTGTGTGTGACACTGTCCTTGTATTTTCTCTTTTAAGCGCCAAGATGCCAGGATTATTGTCGGCCTGTTCTATGAGACGGAGGCCAGGAAAGTCTTCTGTGAGGTAAGGTGTTTATCCTTTGCTACCAGGAATTTAAAGATAGATAGACAGATACTTTATTCCTCCCAAATTGGAAGGTTATTTTGTCACAGCAGAAGTGTTGTTACACATGAGTGGAACATATTTAAAAGAAACATTAACATACAAATATAATACAAATAAATATGAACAATAACAGCAAATATATACAAAGTTACAATATAAAAGGCATATATCACTAGAGTATCTAAATAATACACAATTTAAAGAAAATACTGAATACATTAGAATACTCTATACAATTTCACTAGACAACTGAAATACACTATATATAGAAATATACAGAAACATATAGACATTGGTCAGTGATTCCGCCGACATACACCAAGGCTAAATACATTTCTTATAAGTGTTACTCATGTAGCATGAAGTAGAGAAGATCGCCGATGCTAGCGTTAGCGTTAGCATTTCTCCCCCGGGCTTAAATTGTGTATTATAGAATGATCACACCGGTGACAGTACTATTCAAAGTCAGTCCACAATCACCCACAGCACTGGAACCTGCAATCAGAAGAGAGAGAGAGAAAGAGACCACGGAACGCCTAGTGGTGTGCAGGGGTCGTCACACTATCATTGTGAAAAGGTTTAAAAAGCAGGTCACTGTTGTGTTTCAAAGTGACAGTTAAAATCAAAGCAAACACTATGACATGCGTGTTGTCTATTGGTCCTCAGAGAAATCATTTTGACTCTTGCCCTCTTCTCTTTCTTTAAATGTATCAAATATGAATGTCTTTGTTCATGCGTCATATTGTTTCCACTTCTCTCCCTTTCCTCTGCAGGTGTACAAGGAGAAGTTGTATGGGAAGAAGTACGTGTGGTTCCTCATCGGCTGGTACGCAGACAACTGGTTTAAGATCAAGGACCCGTCCATCAACTGCACCGTGGAGCAGATGACGGAGGCTGTGGAGGGTCATGTGACCACGGAGATCGTCATGCTCAACCCGGAGACGGTGCGCGGAGCCTCTAACCTGGTGAGACAGACGCTCAACAGAATCATTATCAGATGCAAAGGCTGCTGGGAATCTGTGATGAGTACACTAATGCAGTCTAAGCCAAAAACTCTTTGATAACTTTACTATTAAAATGTGTAAATCCTCTTCAAGAAATATCTGAAGATACTAACTTAAGATACATTTAACATTTTCCAAGATTTCTTAACCTTTTCCATTTAGGATATATAAAAGAATCAATTGCAAATCAATTTGACTGGGAATTTCTTAATTGGTATAAATTGGTTTTCTGATTAATTTGGACATTGGAGGATGCTTTGAGTCATATCAATCCGCAGAAAGTCCGGTCAATTTAACGTCAGCTGTGGACAGTAGACATTAGTTTTTTCCATCAGAAAACACAGTGGAATACTTTTTTATTATTCATATTTATATTTGTGGAGAGCACGAAACTCATGATGGCTAAACCGTCCCCAGTAAAGAGATAAAAAAAGTGAAAAGAAGGACAGAGGTGAGAGCTGGACGTCAGAGAAACCAACAGAAGAAGACAGACAGGAAGTAAACACTAAAGGGAACAGCAGAAGAAGACAGACAGGAAGTAAACACTAAAGGGAACAGCAGAAGAAGACAGACAGGAAGTAAACACTAAAGGGAACAGCAGAAGAAGACAGACAGGAAGTAAACACTAACAGGAACACGGTATGGCCTCTGGAAGTGTTTAAAGATAGTTAATGGGAGAGAAAATGTGAAAAGACTTGGACGGTTACAGAAAACTTTGATCTCCAGTCAAGTCTACTTTTCTCCCAGGGGAGCAGGACCCCCCACAGAGTCCAGGCTTCCCCCACCACAGCCTCACATGTACAAATACATTATTTAAGGCAACCAACATTTTATTATTGACTCCAATAAACTGAAAACTCAGTGAGTGAGAAAGGGTTTAAGACAGAAACACTCAGACTGGACAACACCGTGGCAATCACGATATTGGCTCCCCACAATTGAACTGTGATATTAACGTTTTAAATGCATGCTCCGCTCACTTAAACTCCATATAAACACATTACATCAGTGTGATGAGATGGCCCTGTTGCTAGAAGTTTGTGTGAATAAACTTGGTAGCACTTAAAATGCAAGAATGGGCTGTTATTGATCAAAGTGCGGTGAAGTAATGCTGGTTGTGTGAGGCGGAGACAGAATCCAGAAAAAGAAAACTGGTTTCTGTCTTTCCCTTTCATCTTCAGCTGTGTCTGAACGTCATTCACCAATCACACTCCCTCTAGCTCCAACTGACGATGTGACCAGTGAAGTAAATGATGCATTTGATCTAACTATCCATGATTGTTGTCCCCCATTTTCATGTGATTAGCATAGGAGGGCATGTGTGTAAAGAGGAGACTCAAAAGTGTTCATAGAACCTACAGTATATTCATACATGTATAGATATCTTGAGGTGAGAGGTCAATAGATCTCTTCAAAAAATGGCTATTCCAGTTTTTCCCTCTGCAAAATGTGAACTGACTTTGCAGCAGTATTGAGCCTCAACTGTTTTTATGGTTTCATGTGATTCCAGCATCTTCACTGTCTAAAAACGCCGGCTGCATTCGATGTTTGCTAGACATGATGACTGATGATAGAGTTTTAAGAATGGGTTTTTAAAAGGCTGTACCCCCATTTGATTTGAGGTAACTGGTGTTAGAGGAGCTTACAGCCTGGGAAGATGGATTTGCATGATAATGGATGCATTGCACTTACCTAAAACTTAAAGTTTTGTAAAAGCAGAAAATACATTCTAGTTAGTCAGAAGACTAAGGCACATGAGCGTACCATGTGACTTCTCTCCAGAAGGCGTTATGTTTACAATCAGAATGAAATTAATTTATAATCAGCCTATCAATCACAATTCAAGCTGCAAAACACCATTCCAAAGTCACTGAAGTATGGGAACTTTTCCCAACAGACAATTCATGACTGTGCTGCCAAATTCTTTTTTTTTCCCGTTTGTTTGATATTGCCAGACACCTCTGAGATTCATTATCAAATCCACTTATTCCAAAAATCTTATTGCATCCAATTTGGTTTAAAAGATTCATCAGACTATGAAGGAAAACACTGCACAGCGGTTAATAATACTATGAGTGAAAATAATACTACTACTAGTAGACAGTAGACATTAGTCCTTGTTTTAAAGGACAACTCAAAGAATGGTTGAGCAACAAACAGACATGTAATCACCGCTAAATGCACTTTTATACAGGGGTATCTCCTCTTGCACTTTATGTAGCTCTTTTATCTTCTCTTGCACTTTATATATCGTAGCTGCTACATTGTACTGCCACGTGGTAAATGCTTGTATGCTGCTCATGCTCTTTCTGCATGTCATGTATTTATTTTTGCTATGTATATAAATGTCATGTTCTTGTATGTTGTATGTGAGGGGACTGCGGATGGAAATGAGCTCAAAGCAAAAATCCGGCTCATTTACGCTTGTAAGCATTGTTTTGTTTTAAAGTGTTCATCGATGTGCACTGTCCCGGTTCAAATAAACGATGAAATGAGACACGGCCAGTCGTGGGAATTGATGCAAACAGTAAAATATTGTTACCATGTAAATAATTGAAATTTGGTCTGCACATCTTGAATTTGACTAACTCGGTGGCCTGCTTGATGATTGCATTGTGGCAAGTGTTTTTTCATGTTCATTTTTGGTTTGGCAACCTTGTTTGCTTTAGCTTAGCGCAGTGGTCTTATGAACAGAAATGAGGTGGCATTTTTCGATGCAGTGTTGCTGTCGGTCTAAAACTCAAAAAAGAAATATCTATATTTTGCCAAATGCTGGGCATGACCAGGTGAGTGCAGTGTCCTTATGTCCCAGGTCAGGCTTCAATAAATACATTTCTGGATGAACCAACAGCGGCGACTGTTGGCTCAGAACATCAAGCTCCTAAAGAGGCTAGCATATAGCAACATTAGCATCCGGAGAGTGTTATTCATTAAGCTTTGGCAAGAGTTAAGAGAGTTAAGAGATTAACAGATGTTTCTTCAAAGTACTTTTGAAAGTGCTTGCCTTTTTCAAACAGTTTCCAATGACGACTTTTTGGAGGGTTCGTTGTGTACAAACAATCCGGTCTGCCTAGTCAGGAAAATGCATCATGGGATATAAACAGCTTTTAAATTGAAGCAAAAACTGATTATTTAAATGTTGTCTTAAAATGTATTTTTCAGCATAACCAAATAACATTACAATGTATGTGAATTACCAACACACTTTGCTAATCAAGAAAGCTAGCTGGTAATAGTAGTACTGGTAACTTAGTGCATGCTATGCCAACAGAACTACAGTTCCATCCTCTCGTCCACAACAAGGTCACTACAAAAAACCTCACTCCTCTGATGGAAAGACATTAGCATACATCATGCATCATACCTTTCTTTCACCAACCTTTACTCTTGTTGCAAATTGATGCATCTGTCTCATATGTGTTCATTAGTAATTGCCCTTTAGTATTCTATACGTCTGTAATAACCTGATACCAACGCATATCTGCCACATTTGATCTCAAGTGGCAGTATGAGATTTAGCCTGTAAAATCATAGAATAGTAACCTATAAATAACCACAACTCCAAATCTTTCCCTTTGTTTTAGTGCAAAAAGTACATTCTAAAAATGTTCACTTTTAATGAACGATCAATACAACACAATTTGAACAACCTAAAACAATATTATGCCTCAGTTTATCATTTACACATGTGCATTACAATGTAAAGATAACAGTGTGTCTATAAATGCACCGGTATCTGGAACTGAACTATATAGTCTTTACTTTGTGATGCAAACAACTTGTCCAGATCTAGAAATTATTTCACATTCATTTCCAGATCTGTGTTGTAATCCTGACCACCTGAACTAACACCACCATAAAAAGTGGGAACTATTAAGGAAGAAGGTTAAGTTATCCCCCTGCCTTGTAAATGTTTACAATGTATACAAAATATATAAAAGTTTCAAAACTTGCAGTTAATGTAATCCTTTTAACACTTTTGAAACTCAGTTGTTGGACCCTCTGGCTGAACTGGATGGTTTCAGTCACAGTGGTGCTTTGTATTCCGAACAGTCTTTTCCTGGTCAGCAGTGTCAGGAGTCATTCATCTTTTGCAATAATATTCCACCAAAATATTACAATTACCTTGCAAGGCTGAACTGAAAATATAGTGTGAAAGGGTTAAAGTTGTCTGATGCAAATGCTTTTTTAATTTACAAAGTGCAATGGATCATATTCCTAAATGTGTCCAGTTTGACAGGTGGCATGGTAGTGATGGCTATTACAAATAGTGCAGGTTAAAGATTGCTTGACTTTACAGACCCAGAGGTTGCCCATTGCCTCGTCCTCCAATGAGATGTTGTTCAGAGGATTCACCATCACCCCCCCCCCCCTCGCTAACCCCCCCCCTCGGCCTCACAGGCTAAAAATAGATCAGTGTTTAATAATGGCATACTAGACAGAAGGCACCGGCCGTGTCCTCTAAATTCAGACAACTGACACAATTGGTGGAGCCTTTGGGGTGGCTTGTCAATATGGTCTGGCATCTTTGATCCACAAATGAGGCGTAATTAGGTTGTTACACCATGTGTTATTGAGATTGTGCCAGAAAGCAGTCCAGTGTAATTTTCAGAGTAAAGTAAGTCTAAAAAACATTCCCACCGTCAGGGATTTCTTCTTTGTTTATGTTAAAGTGGACCTATCATGCTATATTTGAATAATATAGTATAGGACCATACCTATATAAGGCATATTTATACTTTTTTTTTTTCAAAATACTAAACAGATCATGCATTTTAGCCATGCCTCATTTTGCTCAATTTGACATTTTTTAGCTCTGTTTTTGCAAGGGCAGATTCAGTGAGAACAGCACCATCTACTGACCTGGCATATGTACTACAGCGTCTCCAGCGCTTTCGAACGGCAATGGCCGTGGCTGTCTCCTCCTGATTGGTGGAGTTGGCCCAATAGCCGTAGCGCCACCGTCCTGACGTCAGGACAGTGTTCAAATCTGGATCAGTTTTTATCAGATCCGTTGCAGCCCCTTTTTTAGAGATTTGGGTATGGAGGAAAATAGAGAGGGTTGTGTTTTCTGACACTTGTTGAGTTCTATCCAGATCTATCCACCTTTGGACCCGTTATCGTTTGCGGGGTCCGTTTCTATCGTTTCGTTACGGCCTCGTGTGGCAAAAAGGGCTATACGCAAGAGAAATATGCGGATACAACCCGTTTTCAGCCTTAGATAATCTAAATCAGCAGTTTTCAAAGTGTGAGGCGCGTCTCCCTGGGGGGGCGCCAGAGAGCTTCAGGGGAGGCGCAGTGTGAGAAAAAAAATAACGACAAAAAGATGAGGTCCCCCACCTCGCCAAAAGGCTGTAAAAGTGCTCATTCCCTTCACCTCCACCCAGGGGCGGACTGGCCATCTGTGTGTTCTGGAGAATCACAGAACGGTCGGTCGTCAGCGGACCGTTGACGACCGGCTCGGTTCGCTGACGGCCGGCAGCGCCCTTTATTTTTTATGTTTTTAAACGGCATCATTTAAGTTGCGCTGACAGGCGACCGAGGTCCGTTCAGCGGGCTGTTTCCCCGTTTTTAATGTTTTTAGGAGGTGACGCTACTCAGCCAATCAAATCGGTGCAGTCAGTGAGTCAGCACGATAGATTCAAACATAGAGACGAGACAAGAAGAGAGAAACAGTCGGAGTCATTTCAAATGGCCTGCTCCAAAAAGAGAAAGCTAGACAGCGAAAACAGAGCATTTAATGACATGTTCTCTTAGTGGACCTCTTTGAAATGCAATTGAATGCCACTGTGTTATAGCAACAACAACAATAATAATAATAATAATAGCAATAATAATTGGGAGGGGAGGCGCTTTTTTGCCACATTGGAACTACAGTATAAATACTGATGTTGCCACGTCTTGAGATTCCCGGAAATATTTTTGTAGTTATAACATTATAATTGATAGACCGAGCTTGAAATGTAATTAGTGCTGGGCAACAACAACAACAAATGATCGTGATTAATCGCATTGTTATGCGCAAAATTCAATAATGAATTAAAAAGTAGTGTATTGCGCACTTTATTTAAGAGTACTGCTATATGAACAAAAGTGCAACAACATTTGGTTTGCAAACACTTTAAACAATAAGGTGCTTTTTAACAGCAGCATTCCTTTCACACAGTAGCAGTTAAAATACTCCTTGTAAATCTCAACTTAAACATTAATTAATGTAATTAAATCAAATATAAAACCAAAGCTATTTGCCACTGCAAGGGCATTCATGTTTTTTCTAGTTATAGAAGAACAAGTTACCCTCAGAGTCCAGAGATAAAACAATTCCACTCTGCAGTGGTTCCAAATAGCTCTGGTTCTATCAACTCCTCCTCGGACGTATTCAGAGCCAGTGAGCAACGGACTTTCAAACTAATAATATGAATTAAAAAACTGTTAATGCACGATAAAATAATTGTCGTTGTTAATGAATGAATGCGTTAACACGATAGTAACGCTGTTTTGGAAGCTGCTGCTCTGGCCCTCAGCCAAGAAGAGTCTAATGTGGGTCATCTCAGCACTTAGAAACAAGAGATCTGGCAATGATTGGTCGTGCTTTTTACAGTACTACAGCTTCCACAGATGACATTTTTGTATGGATTTTTTGTCAAAGCACTTAAGATATTCATTGCTATCGGGATGTTAAGAGCATTCCATGGAATATAACAAAAAGTGTATCTCGAGCCGGTTTCTCAAACTTACCTACCCCACCTTTAAGTACTTTTTGACATATTTGTACTTTATTTAAGTATTTCCATTTTTTGTGACTTTATACATCTACTCCACACGAGGCAAATATTGTTCTTTTTACTCCCTGCAGTTATTTTAACACTCACAGTTACTTTGTACATATAAAAATACATGATATACTGATATTGTATAACGCAGTACTATACTTCTAATCTGTAAAGTATATCAAGTATACACATTTGGTGCACATTGACAAACTACAATACTAAAATGCTCTTCAATGTATAAATCAGGATAAAGTTATAATATTATATATTATAATAATGTGAACAAATCAATACCGTATACTAGTACTTTTACTTGAAGTACATTTGAGTGATCATACTTATTATTATAAAATGGGCCATTGGGAAACACTTTTACTTTTACATGCTAATACCTTTGTACCTTTACCTAAGTAACATTTGGAAATCATGACTTTCACTTGTAACGGCGTATTTTGATAATATTGTATTTTTACTTTGACTTGAGTAAAGGATCTGAGTTTTTCCAACCCTGGTGCCATCCAAGGGAGCATCAAGAATGACACTCAAAGTTGCAATAAACTAAAAAACAAAACAAAAATATCCCTCAAAATATTCATAAAGGTTTCTACTTAGAGGGGATAACACCTTTGCCTTTTTTAATTAATTGTATTATCATTTTAGATACATGTAAGGATGTGCAATAAACACATGAAAACCAACGATCCAGATGTTCTGAACATCATTTATAACCACTCTCTCTCTTCATGACCCCCCTCTGCAGACCTCTCAGGAGTTTATAGCCCAGCTGATGTCCAAACTGGGGGGTAAAAACCCAGAGGAGACAGGGGGCTTCCAGGAGGCCCCCCTGGCCTACGATGCTGTGTGGGCATTAGCTCTGGCCCTCAACAAGACCGTGGGACCCCTGAAGGCCAAGGGTCACCGACTGGAAGACTTCAACTACAACAACCGAGACATCACGGCTGAGATCTACAGAGCCATGAACACCAGCTCCTTCGAAGGAGTGTCAGTGAGTACTGCCTCAGAGGGAGGAGAGGGCTTCATAACATAGGAGAGAGGGGAGAGTTGAAAGGAAGGAGGGGGGTGTTGAAATATTAAAATTCAGCTTCTTCTTTCAGGGTCATGTTGTATTTGACGCTCAGGGGTCTCGAATGGCCTGGACTCTGATTGAACAGCTTCAAGGTATGTCACAGCACTTCCCTGCTTTAAAATGGAATGGATTTAAATCAGCCTGGTACAGGGATCACCAACCGTTACTGAAAGAGCCACGAAGCATATATATATGATAACACCCTCTAAGTCATACGTACAGTTATCCTGTATACACAAACTGTAGTTTGTTGCATTAAAGAGGACTTATTCTGCTTTTGGGGTTTTCCCTCTCCTAAATGGCCCCCCCCTGGACTCCATTGGACTCCTTTGTTTACTTCTGTAACATAATGACACATCTACAGTATGTAACACTCACACTTCTATTGGCTAGCGCTCCAACACATTGTACGTGATAGGCTAAGGGGCTGGACATCTCTAGGCGGTTGACCAATCACAACAGAGCCTGCCAGCTAACCAATCAGAGCAGACTGGGCTCTGGTTTCAGACAGAGGGTGAAAAGAGGTGCTGCAGCACAGGCAGTATGAGACAAATAAAGAGCCTTTTGAACATTAAAGCATGGAGACATGTCCCAGTAGAGACTCTACATAGAATATGAATCTGAAAATCTGCATAATAGGGACATATATTATCAAGAAAACTGTTTACATTTTATTGCTGTTTTTGTCTGTTAAAGGTGAACACAAAACTTTAATGAAGAGGAGACTTTGAAAGAAATAAAACACAGATCTCAGCAGACCTATTTGATTCCTCTCCACATATGGGAAGTAATTCAAATAAAAAGTATCCGACTTTGAAATGAAAAACACACATAGCTGCAGCCTAATAGTGTAAAAAGAGGTACTGTATATACACATATATGCCAGTTTGTATTTAGTTATGACTTTCATCCGCTTCAGTATGTAGTCACCTTTTCCTTCAGCCACGTACAGCAACCATGGTATCTCTAGCGCTCAATGTTTCATATCGTTTACACTCATCACAGGCGATTACAATTATATTTACATTTGTATATACTTACAATTTACAGTCTCAAAAAGGAGGATTTAGTTTTAAAACGCAGGATACATGTATTTCTTGTTTCTTTCAGGAAACACTAACTGTGTTGTTCAGATGTAGTCTGCAGACACTGGAAACAAAACTTGTCTCCTGCAACAATCCAATTATGTGAACCAACCCGCAGGCCAGCCAGTTTCCTGTTGGATGTTTGGAGCAGGATGGAGGTGGCTGAGTGATCACAGGGCCACCCTGGGTCTTATCTATGTGGCTCTGCTGGCTGGCTGCCCTCTGATCAGCGAGCCTGTGTTCTTCCATTCAGACTCTGTCTCTGTCACAGTGCTGAGATCTGGCTCTATTGAGGCTCTCTGCATTCGTTGGACTGATCAACAACGAAAGCTTGTTCCGCAGATTTCCTTTGTTGGTGCTGGCCTCTATCATCCCACAAGAGGAGGGTCAGTTCTGAGCTGCAATTAGTTTGATGGTAATTGGAAGCGTCTGGTCCAGTTTCAGCTTGAGGGGAAAATACATGGAAATAAAATACTCGATGAAAACCCTTGCAGCTTTTTAACATAAACATGAATTGGCTTCTGTAGTTCCACTGTTGTATTAGTAAGTAGTTATATCCACTATAAGAAAAATAAATAGTGGACGTTTGTAGGCAGTCCCTAAACAAGATCTCAGTCTCATGGTGGTAGCCTCCCTGTTTTCATAATGAATATAACTGTATTCACAAACTAACAGACAGGCCGTAAAATAGTTTGTAATACTAATGAAATCACAAACCCTTTCAAATAAGAACTATAAACTACTATCTTTACGATTCATTGCATATATTAGAAGTTGCTCTGCATAAAAGTGTTAGCTAGATGAAATGCAATGTAATATAGAGCTGATTTTGTCCCTTTTGGCACGACATAACCTGTAAATAACAATATCACTTGGACACAACTCACAACTAAACACGGACAGTGTTTTATGCAATCTGATGTTCGTTACCCAGTTTATTCATTTAAAGCAGGGGTGTCAAACTCAATTTCATCGCGGGCCACATCAGCATTATGGTTGCCCTCAAAGGGCCGGTTGTAATTTTAACACTATATAAATATACATATATAAATATCAAAATAATGTTTTATACTGTATAACAATATTGCCTCTGCATTGGAGTATTATTGGTTTTGGCAATAACTACGTCTGAAAGCACATGGTTGTGCATTAATGTATTGTGCACGTAGACACAAAAATACTGTATGTGGGCTCAGACTAACATTTCACTCTCTTACTGTTACATAAATCCCATGAATTTATGAAATTTAGTTAGCCTCATCATATCTTATCAAAAAGAGATACAATGTTTGTGAAATCTATTTTTTGTGAATAATAAAGTATTTTTCTTTTGTATATCAAGCATTATTTAAGTAGGCTATATTTCATTTGAATTCAGCAATAATATTTTAATAGTCTGAAAGCCAAGACTTTGAGAACCCCCTGTCCCAGATCCTGCTGTGTTACTATCACCTGTCACTCACTATTTCAGTAAGCAGTGAGTGGGGGGGGGGCGGCGGCGTGTTGAGGAGGAACAGAGTGAGAGGGGACAGGGATCGCGGAAGTTTTCCTCCTTCCTTTACAAACTTTACACAAGTATTTATAAGTATTTATCGTCTGAATATAGCAAAAAGACGTTCATACTCTGCAAGCCAAGACCTCATATATTTTAATCAACCAGAAACCGGAAATAACCGTAACGCGAGTTTTTCTAAAACATAATAAATCCATGTGTGTCTCTGAGCCGCAGCAACACCGACTGATTCTTAAAGAGCGGGTCATTCTGTCTGTTTGTTCTGGGACTGGAGTTGCTTGTCTCGGTTGCTGAAGCAGACTTTGCTCCGTGTTTGGTGTCTCTGTGCCGCTGTAAATTATGTTCCTTCAACTCTGTGTCACTCACAGTCACACACTGGTCACTCACCGCCTCAGAGTGCCGCTGCTGATAGGAAGTCGCTTCAGTGCGCACGTCACAAAACGAAATGCATTTTGGGACATGCTGTTTATGGGCAACGTGCTTAAACGGCATGTAACCGTATAATAAACTGTTTATATTCTTTGCGAGCTCTCGCGGGCCACATAAAATGACGTGGCGGGCCACATTTGGCCCGCGGGCCTTGAGTTTGACACGTCTGATTTAAAGGCTAGCATTATGCTACATCTTTAGCAACACGTATGGGACTCCACGACGGCAATGTTGGTTGGCCGTCCACCAATGTCATCCAGACGAAAATATGTCCAACTTCAGGATAAATACTCATTCCTGTTGTGAATCCCTAACCTTTTATGAACCGCTAGCATTATATTGTAATTTCTGGTCCTGTGCGAGAAATCTCTGCAATGATTGGATGGATTTCCATTTGTCACAGAAGCATAGGGTCCTTAGAGCAGTGGTTCTCAAACTTTTCCTGTCATTCCCCACTTTGAACAGGTGGGCCTTTTCAAGCCCCACCTGTTCCTCATCGCTCCAATGAAATGGTAGGCCACATTTGAACATATTATATGCTTACCTTTAACATCTTTAGAATATGATCACAACCAATAACAAATCATTTAAACTTGTTTATTCTTATCTTATGTTACCTAGTTAGCATTCTTTCTTTTTTATTTATGCATATTTTACTAATCACTCCCCTTTTAAACAATTTACTGTCCTATAGTACACATTGGAATGATTTCTTACATTATCTTTTACAACTAGGCTATATTAAATAGATAAAGGTGTGCTCTCTCTAGCTCTCTCTCTCTCTCTCTCTCGCTCGCTCGCTGACAGAGGCTGTGTGCTCCTCCGTGGCGATGACGGCTTGCGTTAAAAAAAAAAAATAAACATAGGCCTATTTGTAAACTGGGGGGACACAAACGGGATTTTGAAAAGTGTCACGGTTAAACTCCTTATGAAGTGGTGAGGTGCCGCTCATACTTGCCAACCTTGAGACCACAGAAATCGGGAGCATTTCCAAAACACCGCCGGGGGTTGGTCACCAGAGTGGATCGCCGGAGTGGGTCGCCGGAGCTGTATTAGATTAACATTAACATGCTTATTGTAGTTGTAAGTGCACTGCCTTGCGGCCTGTAGCACCATCCTTGATGGAGCATATGTGTGGGCTGGACCTGTATTTTACAGGAAAGGAGTGAGCAGAGGGTCGAGTTGTCGATTCTTGTTCTGTTTTCTGTGATTATCTTCCTCACCCTCTCAGACTTTCAGTTGCACGCGCTACTAAAGAGACGTGCTACCATGGAAACCAAACAATGGTGTAGCTGTATTAAAGTCCGAGTGGAAACAGTCCTGAGTAAATCTGATTTTGTCAGAAATCGGGAGAAATGCGGGAGAAACATGACCCCGGGAGGAAACCGGGAGAGGGCAATGAAATCGGGAGTCTCCCGTGAAAATCGGGAGGGTTGGCGAGTATGGTGCCGCTCCACATTGCTTTTCTTCCCGACTGCAATGCTGTGAAAGTCCACCGCCGTTGCGCGTCTCCGGCTGTAACAGTCCACTACCGCCCGCGAGGACCCAGGTTCAATTCCGGCCTGAGGTCCAAAAAAATGTATTTAAAAAAAAAAAAAAAAAAAATCTCCCGTTCATCGCGTCCATTCGCGACCCACCTATCACATCTCTGCGCCCCACACTTTGAGAAACGCTGCCTTAAAGCATGACTACTAATGACTCTTCCAATGATGATCCTCTGACTTTTCATCGATCATATTGTTAAAAGTATATCACATTTTCTTGCACTCCATGAAACGGTTAATTTACAATAAAAATGAAATGAAACAACTTATTATTATATAGTGCTTTGGTTAAAGAGGCTTTGGGTGCAACAGTAACACAAACTGTTGTGGCCTCTCTGGAACCTGAAACAAAAGTTAGTTCAGTGAATACAGTTCTCTAAGCTTTCAATAATAGGGCTTTCACACCAACGTGATTCCCGTTCTAGCTCCGTGCTTGAGCTTTTCTGGTTCAGAACCGGTTTTTCTTTTCAGCCCCCCTTTTGTTCACACCGCCCAGAGCCCGACTGGTGCTGCCGCTGCTGTGTCATGACGTCACCGTTTACGTCGCTGATTTTCTCCCCAACGGCGTTACGGCGCTCACTACAACAACAATGGGGGACTGCGTTGGGTAGATGATCGTGTTGCTTTTAATCATACGAAGCCAGATTAAATTAAATAAGGACTTCTCCAACCTTATACTTTTCTCCAGAGTGCCGTGGTTCATTGTTTATTAATGTGTTACAGCGGCATTTACCTACCACTGCAGTGCTGGCTGCTCTTCCTCGGGAGTTTATTCTCCCGTTAGCTCCGGGTTAGCTCACATGGCAGCGGCCGCTGTAAAGTATTCACTGTCTGACTGTCCAACCCAGTCTCACGGCATTTCGTGTTATAGTCACGAAATTAATTTAATCTATTGATTCGTGTTCACCAACACGATTTTCACATTTTTTTCGTGTCACACAGAACGATTTTAAAAGCAATGTATTTCTATTGGTAGTATGTTTCGTGCCTGCACCACGTCTTTTTGTCCGGTCGGGTCTTGGAAGACCGGAAGCTGTGTGGTTCTTAAAAACATTTTCTTACTCAATATCTTACCCTAAGCCTAACCCTATCGCTTTTATTTTAAATTGTATAATGTCAGAGTTTTTTTGCCGTCCGCGAGGAAAATAAATGGGGCTCAGAGCCTCAGAATACTGACATCTGTATTTTTTGTCATCTTTTTATCCTTCTAATTTGTTATTATTTGGTGCAGGCACGAAACATACTACCAATAGAAATACATTGCTTCTAAAATCGTTCTGTGTCAGAATACTGAAATCTGTATTTTTTTAAATCTCTTTTTCCTTCTAATTTGTTATTATTTACATTGCTTTTAAAATCGTTCTGTGTGACACAAAAAAAATGGCGAAATCGTGTTGGTGAACACGAATCAATAGATTAATTTCGTGATTATAACACGAAATGCCGTGAGACTGTGTTGGACTGTCACACAAGCAGCTGATACATATCCCCAGTTCCCCTTAAGTGAATGTGTGTCAGTCTGAATTGACGCTGTTTGGCATCACAACGCTGTTATTAAAGTTTCTCTGGTATAAAATGGGTGATGTTAGCATAGCAACCAAAGCTAAACTGACTACTTGTTGTTGCTATCCTATTGTGGCATAAGCCGTTTTCTACAGGCACATTTTACCGGCGTATTTTTCATTATGATTCTACTTGTGATAGTCGGACATGACAACCTGTGCAGCCCATGTATTGCATCCAGTGTGGTTGCGTTCTAGCCACTGTGCTCAGCACTAGTGCTTGTTACAACTTTTATTTGCCGTACTCGCCTTTAACTGTTAGCTCAGGTTAATCTCGCCCCCCTCCGACGTAAGCGTAACGTATGCGGTTCTTGCTTCTAGACCGACAATTTTTTGGTGCTTGATACTAACCGGATTCCGGAGCTTAGAGGCGGCTCCGCTGCGGTGTGAACAGGAAATACCGGTGCTTTTCAGGCTCTAGCTCCGAACCGGCCCTGGAACCGCGTTGGTGTGAAAGCCCCATAAGTCAGACATAAGAAGCTTTTCTTTTTTTAATGGTAAAGGTGCTGTTGAAACAGGTGGGTTTTCAGTCTGTGACGGAATGTGTGTTGACATTCTTCTGTCCTGATATTAATGGAGAGCTCGTTCCACCATTTTGGAGCCAGGATAGCAAACAGGTGTGTTTTTGTTGAGGTGTATCTGGGTCCAACAGCTATCTGATTGGCCGATGCACGTGCTGGAGTGTATGGTTTGACCAAGTCCTGGATGTAAGATCGGATCCATTGACAGCACGGTAGGCCAGTATCAGTGCCTTGAAGCTGATTAAGGTAAGCTACGGGTAACGGGTGAATGGAGCAGAGGAGTGGTGTATTGTGGGAGAACTTAGGGAGGTTGAAGAATAGTCGGGCTGCTGAGTTCTGAATTAGCTACAGAGGCAGTATGGTACTTGCAGGTAGACCAGCCAGGAAGGAAGTAGTCAATGTTGAGGCAAATATTTCCTAGGCCAATACCTTTGACCCAGTTTATTCCTTCCTTATCCCCTTGCTCAGCACAGGCCTGCGACCATGGGGTGCTGCGCTCTCTGAGAAAGTAGTTTTGTCTCCCTATTCCTGCCTGTTGGCGCCAGCTGATAGAGGTGTTAGAGTGCTTTGTTTGTTATGTGTTGTCATGCAGAAGGTTGATTATTCCCTGAGAACCAGCTAAATACATGGGACTGTGGGAGACATCTTCAGAATTGGTAAGCCAGGAGCTGTCACTTTGTGGCTGCAGCACATGTCTTTGTCAATTCTCCGGCCGTAACATCCAATAAATCTTCAGTGTCTGCCATCAAGTCGAGCTCTCCTTTGTTCTCATTGTGTTGCGAGTCCATGCTCCAAAAGTTTCCATTTCAGTCAAGATGTGACATGTCATTAAAGAGGTTTTAGGGTTGTTTGCCCAATAATGATAATTGTTTTTTGCTACCTTAACCTAGCTGAAGAGCATTAAATACTTCTTAGTGGAGTCATGTTGGTCGACTGTAGGACTCATACTGCCTAATGATGGCGGTAGTGGAGGTCAGTGGGGGTGGGGGGGGGGGGGGGTTGCGCCTGAGCTCGCTGTGCTATTTTAAAGCATTACGACAGCATCAACTGAATGTTCTCCAGCTGATGACAGGAACATTTCTCACATGGGTAGTTTTTATTTCATTTCTTTATTAAAGAGGCTTGAAGGAATCCCTCTGGCCTGGATGTCATTAAGGAAATATCTCATAAAGTGTAGCGAGGAAGAACAAGGAGGCAGGGCGACTGTCTGTCATGATTTCCCAGGAGAAATAAAAAAATAATTTTGTAAACCAACACTGAATACTTACTGAGTGTGAGCACAACAGGAAGCTGCTTTATATATGCGTACCATGCTGTGAATGGATCTGGCCCTTCCTACATCCAGGACATGGTTAAACTGTACACCCCAGCACGTGCACTCCGCTCTGCATCGGCCAAACGGCTCGCTGCACCAGCACTGCGAGGGGGACCCAAGTTCCCATCAGCAAAAACACGTGGGTTTGCTATCCTGGCTCCAACATGGTGGAATGAGCTCCCCATTGACATCAGGACAGCAGAAAGCCTACACATCTTCCGGCGCAGACTGAAAACTCATCTCTTTCGACTCCACTTCGAGCAATACAATGGAAAAAACAAAAACAAAATAAAAAGCACTTATATACTAACTAAGCACTTATATACTAACAAAGCACTTATATACTAACTAAGCACTTATATACTAACAAAGCACTTATATACTAATAAAGGACAGGCTTATCTAAAGCCAGTTGAGTAGCACTTGAAATGGTTTGGCTCTATGAAACCTGATGCACTTATATGATTCTGTTTTCTTCAAGTTTGTATCTTCTTGGTCGAATGCACTTATTATAAGTCGCTTTGGATAAAAGCCTCAGCTAAATGCAATGTAATGTCATATTAATGTGTAAATGTTCTAATATCCAACAAGGGATAAGCCACTTTATTACGTAACACTTAAAGGAATAGTTCAACATTATAGGTATTTAATTTCATTCAATTAAATAAAGTTAAACTTGTATTAAATCATAAGCTTGGTTAAATAAATAAATAACTAAGGCTGGATATTGTTTCAATATCCTTACAAATAATTTCCTTTTTGACACATTTGAGAAATGCATACATTTTCTCTTCATAACCCTTTTTCTATTAAACAAAATAGCCCCGATTTCAAATATTCTTCAAGGTTTGACTTTTGCTGTCCAAAATGGTGTTTAAACAAGCTGTGCAAGACGTTAAAAAAAAAAAAAAACACGGTTTAAAATTGGCAAATGAAAACTAGAGGTTGGTATTAAGGTTGGATGGAGGTGGAACATTCCTTCAGAGGTGGAAGAAGTACAAATAGAGAAGTACAAATACTTGATCTGAAATGACTACATAGATAAAAGTCCTGAATTCAAAACGTTGGGGGGGGGGGGGGGGTATTTTCTGCTCATTGTCAGGTTCATAGTATGTAGTGTCTCTACTGGGACACGTCTCCATGCTTTAATGTTCAAAAAGATCTTTATTTTTATCATACTGCATGTGCTGCAGCACCTCTTTTCACCCTCTGTCTGAAACCAGAGTGCGAGTGATACATAGTGATGTCATTATGTTCAGGAAGTAAACAAAGGAGTCCAATGGAGGCCTCTTTATGTAAAGATATTATCAGAAAATGTACTCAAAGTATCAAAGTAAAAGTACTCAATACATACTATGGCTCTTTTGAAAGTATTATATTATTATAGAACATTATATTATTGTGTTTTAATTGCCTAGAAATGCATGTAATAGCTTTTTCAATGTTGTAATGTTGAATGAATTTTAGATTTGAAAATAAATACTGTGTATATGAGGTGTACAGTACTATATCATATATAGAACATGTAGTACAGTACTTGAGTAAATTGACTCAGTACATTTTACCACTGAATGTATTAGCGTCAGAGACATCTCTTAACCCTCTGTCCCCCCCCCCCCTCCCCTTTTCTCTCTCACACAGGAGGGAGCTATAAGAAGATTGGATACTACGACAGCACCAAAGGCAATCTGTCGTGGTATGGGAATGACAAGTGGATAGGTGAAGCATATTCTTCTTCTTCACCTCCCTCTTTCTCACTGTCTCTCTCCCTCCTCCTCCCTGCTGTTCTCTTGCAGCTTCACCCTCTCCCCCTCTAATTCCTCTTCCTCTCCCTCCCTCCCACTCAGTGGCCAGTCAGCTGTTATTATGCATGTGATACAGCAGCACCAGAGTTAAAGTGCTGTGATGCTTTGGATGGCATTTCACTTACTGACTGAGCATGGGAGCCACCACAGCTCTGCAATAAATAACAGATGCTAGTTGACAGTCTAAACAAACCAGGAGAAAGCAATCTGGGTGCTGATGCAATGGGTAGGGGCCCCATGACCTTGACTTTGAGAATGAAATTGTGTTCTCTAATGGACACACAGGGAGGTGTGTGTGTCCGTTCTGCCTCTCTGAGCACCGACAAGATGCACAAAGTGGTTAATGCTCTGAAAACTGTGCAGGGATTTTGAAGAAACAAAGTGGAGCGATGCATTGGTTAATGGACACCTTCAGTTGTTTATTCTCGGTGTTGTCTCAGACACAGCTGATTGGATTTCCTGTCATTGATTGTTTGAAGATTGGGGAGGTGTGTGTGGGCTGGGGAAACTATTCTAGAACTAAACACATTGATTACAGTGCAAGCCAAGAATGATTTGGGAAATAATATGACATTATTCTTGTTCCATTGTTATTTCGAAAGACCATACCACTGCTTTTAAATGTCCATTCTTTTACAAATACATTTATTATATTCTGTAAATAATCAAAAGATGGTATACCTCACTAAAAGAGAGAGCCCGTCTTTCATTTGCACTTTTTCAGTTTTTTACATGCATGTTTCATTATATTTCATTAAGTGTCTTCCTGTGCTAAGTTTTTGATTTGAAGTTACAAACCCAACATTTCTGTCATGTTTGCTTTCATATTGTTTTGATAAATTCAGTAAAAATGTACATTTCAGCAGCACTTATTCCATCATTTGTTCTCTTTTACTTTTTGTGGTGGTTTTAAGCAAGTGTTAAGTCTTCCGGTAGAGCCTGACGCCACTCTAAATATGTACAGTATATGTACAGTACAGTTATACTGGCTGTACAAACTAGTTATTGTAACCCCATCACACACACACTCAGGTCATCTGAGTGGTGTGTTGTGGTTTGACGAAACCAGAGGGGGAGTCGACCTGCTTTGTTTACTTCTTCTTTTTGAGTGAGTGAGTGTTTACAGGCCAAGTGAAGTAACTGAGTCATACAGCATGGGTTTGGGGTAAATGGGCTTTGTGTGTGTGTGTGTGTGTGTGTGTGTGTGTGTTGTGTGTGTGTGTGTGTGTGTGTGTGTGTGTGTGTGTGTGTGTGTGTGTGTGTGTGTGTGTGTGTGTGTGTGTGTGTGTGTGTGTGTGACTGTTGGAGCCTGCGGTCTGTCTGTCTGGGCCATCTGGACTGCGTTTGGTAGTCAACAGATGCTGTGGGACAGAGGATGAACTGAGGAGTTATACAAAAAACTGTTTCATGTGCATGTCAGCCAAAGGCTCTTCCCCCCCCCCCACCCCCCCCCACACACACACACACACACAGAAGCAGCGTCCTTCCTGGCTGGCAGTGGACACAAATATGCAGGACAGTGACATGACAGAATCAGGCCGGCTCAAGGTGAGCAGCGGTTAAACTTGGATACTTGGTGCCATGGGCGTAGGAAGCATCCTGAATGTGGGGGGGACATTTTTAACGGGGGGTGTGGGGGCGAAAAAATATATAGATTTCCTGTATTCTGGTGCATTTTAACAGGTGGTTTGATACTTTTATGTGGCTATACTAGCATGAGGAAAATGATGGGTACATTTTGTAATTTCATCCAGTAGTAAAGAAAGGAAACATATTTGATTATTAATTCAGAGCTGTCTTTGAATTAATAAAAAGCAGTTTAAATGCCCATTTTTTGTACATTTATATACAACAATAATTATTTGTGAGTGCATTGAGAGATATTGTTGTGGAGAGTCATTTATATATAAATCGCAAAATACATTTGTGAATCCTTCTGTGAGCATTTATTAATATTGAGACTGATCTGACTCCATACAGATGTTAAGTTCACCTAGGAATGGTATCATTGACTTAAATGTTCAAATAAATGTTGCTCTTCTGTCTATATTGGTCATATGATGCCCCTTGACTGAAATGTTTCCTGTTCAATATCCCCACTGATTTCCTTAAAATCCTGGGATGAGAGTCCACATCACAATTTACTCTCAACTGTCATTTCCCTTTCATCACTCACCTCAGCAATGGACCTCTCTCCACTGTCCCTGTATTCTGCCTCTGACTCACTCTCAAGTGCCTAGATGTCAAGAGAGGTGGTGAAGTGATAATTATTTATTGAGCAGTATACTCTTTCACATTGAATCATAACAAGTCATACTGAATGTAAATACAACTGACTCTAAAGTAAGTCCCAGTCTGTGACATTGGACATTTTGAAGACTCAAAGTCCCAAGCAGTAGGTATCTCTCTACCATGACATAAAGACGAAACTCCTCTCCAGAAGTGAGACGCCGCCATCACTGTTAACTGATTAACTGCTACCAGCTGATGACTTATTTTCCTCTTCTTTGAAAAAAATGTTCTTATGTCCATGTTGTCTGGGGGAGAAAACATATCAAACCAAGAGATCGTCAGCTTTGATTTTCGCTGTATTAACCATTTCCTGAACATTTGGTGTGTGTGCCTTACCTCCGCTACCGGCATCCTTCATACAACAGAATCTGAGCTGTCCAACTATGACAACACTCCTTGAACATGCGCGCGCTATGTGAGAATCTGCCTTGGAACAAAGTAGCAGTGAAAACATGGTACGGAGTTTCATTGATTTGGGCATTCTCTCAATAAGCAAGTGGAATGGATTTCATTTGATAGTGAAGCACTGACACAGCGCTCTACAAAGTGCGGCGAGTGGATAGACCGATTCACGGACTTTCCGCATAGTAGAAGTGGGGGGGTCTAAACTAATCATTTGAAAAAGTGGGGGGGACTTGTCCCACCCTCATATAATGGCTGCGACGCCCATGCTTGGTGCACTGCATGTCGTGAACCGAGAAAACTTTTGCGCTGTCAACTTCAACCGTATAGTATGTTTGTAATTTCATTTAAGATACGGAAGGAGGTGAACTGGGACCTCTCCAAGTAGAAGTCCACACTCCATATTTAGGTCTGGTCGGGGACTTGAACCGGCAACCAGGGCCGGCCCTGACCAATTTGCTGCCCTAGGCAAGATTTTAGCTATCAGGGGAGCACAGGTTCAAACCCCACTGCAGTCAGCATGTCGTTGTGTCCCTGAGACACTTCACCCCAAATTGCTCCTCTGGGGATTGTCCACAGTATTGAGTATGTAAGTCGTTTGGATAAAAGCGTCTAACAAGTAACATGTCATGTAATGTAACTATTCAATTGACTTTTGATTAATGATCACATTAACGTTACTGTACCTTTGTCTCGTTTCTCCTCCGCCTCTTTTCTTTTGTTTCTTCCCTGGGCACCAGATAGCTTTGTTTGTTTCGACATGGTGTGGCTAATTATCGTCAGGGAGTTAGCGTCTTTTTTTTTGTCACGGCAGGTCAAGTGTCAGTTCAGAAAATCCCCCCGCCCCCCGGGGCACTTCAACTTACCTGACTAGGGGGGGGGGGAGCGCCATAGTTTATGGGCGCTGTAAGCAATGTAGGCGTAGTTCTGTTAAGATAAGATAATAAGATGTACTTTATCGATCCCAAATTGGGAAATTGTTTTGTTATCAAATATCGTTAATAGTGGGGTTTTTTTTCTTGGATGGATGCGCCCTTAGCATTCGCCTATACTGCCTATGCCAAGGGCCGGCCCTGCCAGCGACCCTACGGCTCCCAGTCCAAGCCCCTACTGACTGAGCCACTGCCGGACTGCTGGACCTCATGCAGACTTTGATGCTGTGTTTCAATTTGGATACCTCTCTTAGTGTACTGTCATGTCATACACTGTGAATACTTGCGTAAATTCAACCTTATAATGTTGTCTAAAATTGCACAGACTGCTGCTGTTAGCTTGTTAGCTAGCTAGCTGGCAATGATCGTTAGCAGGACCAAATCTTTACAGGCTGCCTAGATAAACACAATTTATCTTGGCTTTTTTTCCAACACCAGTAAAGTTAAAATTATTTAAACTTCGACCTTGTTTACCACTGACATTTCAACGCACAACCAATCAGATGACAGAGGTATGAAGGGGCATGAACTAGCAAGGGCGGTAACTATAGAAACAAAACTTAACTGGCTGTTTTCATAACAAGGCTCTGTGCCTAACCTCGCGTGAGCTAGGAGGAATTCACGTGTCATGTGAATGCATCATTATGAGTGAACCATACACGTACTCATTGTGCTTTTGGCCATACTTTGCATTGGGATGCACTTATGCACTCAAACAGCTTGTCTGTTTAGGTAGGTGGATTGGGACACAGCAGAGGACTGGAGTATACATTGGTTGCTACTTGCTGATGTGTGAAAGTCCACTTCCCCAAATCCCTATATCTCTTTCCACATTACCCTGTTTCCTTCTCTTCTACCTCCCATGTATGTCTTCATCCATTCTTCCCTAATCCCTCCTTCATCTCCTCGTCTCTTTCTATCTCTCTCCCTCTCATCCTCACTCTCCCACCTTGCTTTCCCAGTATTTGTCCACAATCTCCTCCCTCATTCTTTCGGTCTCCTTGACAACCACTGCTGCATCGCTGCCTCTCACATTGCCTTGGCAACCATTATGGGGCAGTCGCCATGGTTACATACTGTCCCGATTCCACCATCAAGGGCAGGGGGAGGTATTAGTGTTGGAGAACACTTTCTCCCAATAAAATCTTGCTCACACACACACACACACACACACACACACACACACACACACACACACACACACACACACACACACACACACACACACACACACACACACACACACACACACATTCTCTTTTTCTCTGTAAGCAACACGCATGCAGAT